GTCAAGGAGGGAAAACAGACAACAAAGTAATAAATGAACCAGATAATTACATATGGGAGGAGGACCTCAAAGGAATCATGCAGGATGATGGGACAGAGAATGAGGGGTTGGGAGACTTTAATCAGAGGGTTGGCAGAGGTCTCTCTGAGAAGAAACTGTTTTAATTCTTCTGGAATCCAGATTTCTGGGGTGACCCACCCAGGCAATTTGCTGTTACTTGTGCTTTTGAACCTTAAGTCTTGAAGGAACTGGTTTCCTAGCGTCACTTTTATGGAGCCCTGGCGGAGTAGTGGTTAAGTGCTCCACTGTTAACCAAAAGCTTGGTGGTTCAAACCCACCCAGCTGCTCCCCAGGGAAAGAGGTGGCAGTATGCTACCCATAAAGATCATAGCTTTGGAAATCCTTTGGGGAAACCCTACTCTGTCTTACAGGGTCGCTATGAGTAAAGATATACAGCAATGAGTGGGTTTGGGAAAGCCTAGTCAGCAGATCTGTTTGTTTTTAGGTGCCGTCCAGTTAGTTGTGACTCATAATTATTTGTGTCCAACAGAACAAAACCCTGCCCAGTCCTGTGCCAGCCTCACAATCGTTGCTGTGCTTGAGCCGATTGTTGCAGCTACTGTGTCAAACCATCTCATTGAAGGTCTTCCTCTTTTCCAGTGACCCTCCACTTTACCAAGCATGATATCCTTCTCCAGAGACTGGTCTCACCTGACAACATATCCAAAGTAAGGGAGATGAAGTCTCACTATCATTGGTTCTAAGGAGCATTCTGGCCGTACTTTTTCCTAAACAGATTCATTTGTTCTCTGGCAGTTCATAGTATAGTCAATATTCTTTGCCAACGCTGTAAATCAAAGGCATCAATTCTTCTTTGATCTTCTGTGTTCATTGTTCAGCTTTCATGTGTACATGAGGCGATTAAAAATACCATGGCTTAGGTGTGTACATGAGGCGATTGAAAATACCATGGCTTAGGTGAGGAGCACCTTGGGTCTCAAAGCAACATCTTTGCTCTTTAACAC